CTTCGCTGATGTGTTTGGAAGGAATACACGAACTCTGTCTATAATTTGTTTAAAACGTGGAAGAAGAGAAATATAGAGCGTTAAGTGAGAAGAGGACTTGAAGATGGATGAAAAGATGGCAGACGTGCGGCCCCCCCTCGCACATATGGAAAGCATTTCTTTCCCCTCCTCGCTTCTGCAGGGCACGGTGCTTTCGCTGGGGGCCTGATGGTGTTTTAAAGAAAAGGCACGAGTCAGGACAACATGTCTTTCTGTGCGCTATGCATTCAGAATACACAGAAGAAATGTGGGATTAAGGGAAAGCGTGATGCAGGGTAGATCTGCTAGTTGTGCTAGCCGCTAGTATCTTCTAGTTTCTTTAAAAAGTGTGCTTTCCCAGGATTTGTGGACTGATCTCACGTTTGCATCTCATACATCCTCTCCTAAAACCCATTTAGCAGGCCTATTCTTAACGTTTTTATTCATCCATCTACTCATTTATTTATTATTTATTTTATTTTACACATTTGTATTTAGTTTTACTTAACTTACTGTACTTTTAAACATTTCAAATTGTACTGATTTCACAATTGCATCTCATAAATCATCTCTTAAACCCCATTAACTAGGCCTTTTCTTAACTTTTGTGTTTATCTATCTACTTATTTATTTATTATTTGATGTATCTTTACTAGTTTTTATTTAGTTTTACTTAAATTACTGTAGTTTTACTTTTAAACACTTCAAATAGTTCTTATCCTTATATAAAAAGTATTGTATAATTCTTACAAATTATGATATACTTATTATCACTCCCTTCTCTTTCTCCTTCTGTCTTCTCTCCCTCCCTGTGGCGATGCTAAGATATATAGAATGGAATGGAATGGAATGGAATGGGAGGGATGAAACCCTCTTTAATGGTCACACATGCAGAGCACACATGTGTTCTCTGCATTTAACCCATCCTAGTACCAGGAGTCTAGTACTAGGAGCAGTGGGCAGCTATTGTACAGCGCCCGGGGAGCAATGGGAGTGGGGGGGGGGAAGGGGGGTGTCCGGTGCCTTGCTCAAGGGCACCACGGCAGGGCAGGAGGTGAACTGGGACCTCTACAAGTAGCAGTCCACACTCCATATTTAGGTCTGGTCGGGGACTTGAACCGGCGACCCTACGGCTCACAGTCCAAGCCCCTACTGACTGATATGAAGCCTTCAGTTTTGATCAGTTCACTTTTATGCTCTCCTTCACAGAAGTGATTTACAATCTGCGACTAAAGTGGGGAGACACAATACTTTTTATATATTACACAATTTTTTTTAATATATATATATATTTGTATTGAAGACCCATAGAAAAGACATTTGGTACATTGATAGGGACCACAGTTCAAAGCTACCAGTAACCATTTACTATTGTGCATCAATTGACAAGCCATACATGGTTGATTTTCTCTTTTTTTAATACAAAAAACTGTTTAATATAACTAAATCTATGTTCTTAGTAAAGGTATCTTTATATATATATTTGAACAGAGGTGGTATAGTTAAGGTTTTTGTGCACCTGGCTTTATTTCATTTCATGTGATCTGACAGATTTACTCAGCGGTTGTAAACATTGCGGCGGGATGTGAAATGTCCCGGGGTGAAATGGGGATGAAGCAACACGATCGTCCGTTGGTTGTTTATGATTTTGTTTGAGAAAGGGAGCGTGCATTAGTAGAGCTGAAGCAATTAGTTGATTTATCACTTAGTTGATTGACAGAAAATGTAATGCAGCCTTTCCAATGCTTATGTTTGAGTGTTAATTGATTTAGGGACACAAAAATCCATGTGGGAAATTGTGTTGTGAAAAACTTTTGTTGACGTTTTGCTGACTAAGTTATTAATTTAATAATTGTTAAAGTTATTGCCATAGTAACCTATATGCGGCACTTCAGTAATAAGTATTTTACAGAATCCAAAAAGGAGGGCAAATGTGTGAAAATAGTATAAGAGATTCAGTATCCTTGTAAGGTTATTGATAACAAAAGAATCAAGCATACTTAGTCAATAATTAAGATAAAAAAGGTTGATACAAATCAAATATACCAACAAAAATGCACATTATAAAATAAAATAACAAACTTTTAAACAAAAGTCAAACAATTTCTATATTCAAATTATTTTTAAAACTTTTTTTGTTTGTTCAAAGAAACGTCATTGTTCCCGAATTGGGATATTCATTTAGCTACAGCAGCGTGTTACCAAGACAATGCAAATCATTGAAAATAAATGTATACTTATCAACATAGAGATATACATCTTAAGAGTATTTGTAGAATATAAAATGTACAGAATAGGTTATGATAAATGTAAAATAAAAGCTTATAAAAAATGTCAACATAGGATACTATATGCATTACAAAAAAATGTGCAAAGTAGTTGCAATTTTTTAAGAGAAATGTAAATGCATTGAGGAGAGCAGTTATACAATACACAACTTTAGTACCTGAAGTGCTGTACAAATAAACATCAGAAATCACACAGCTCAGCTCACACACCATACAACAAGTACAAGTAAAAACAATAGACAATTTAAAAGTAACAATCTACAAGATGTCAAAACGCTAAGGAGAAGAGGTGGGTTTTAAGAAGCGATTTAAAAGCAGACAGTGAGGAGAGCAGTAGCTTTCTCACTCTGCATTGCTTCACTGTGCTGTAGGAGTGGAGTGAGGCCTGTGTCTCAGTAATACAGATGAGGAGCAAAGTGAGTTGTGCTGTAATGGAGTGTTTGGAGAGAGAGCAGCAGGCTGAGCGTCTCTCTGAGTGTCAGCGGGAGCTTCCTCAAAGATAACCTCTGCTCTGCTTCCAGCTCACAGCTCCAACATCTGACCAAACTCTCCTCTTATCGTCCTCCTGACTTCCAGCTCACAGCTCCAACATCTGACCAAACTCTCCTCTTATCGTCCTCCTGACTTCTCCAACATCTGACCAAACTCTCCTCTTATCGTCCTCCTGACTTCTCTAACATCTGACCAAGCTTTCCTCTCTTATCGTCCTCCTGACTTCCAGCTCACAGCTCCAACCAGCACACACACACACGCACGCACGCACGCACGCACACAGCAGCAGCCCTCTACTTGCTACAAACTTAACTATGAAAAGGTTAAACTACGCACACCACATAACACATCATCTCGGCTCGCGCAGCACGCTCACAGGCATAGATTGCGCAATCATTTATTGCGCACCTTGGAGGTGAAGTGCAGGCATATTGTCATTCAAGAGAGAATACGATGCGTAGTTCTTTTGGAAAACATGTTTTTCTTTTAGCCTATTTACCTCGTTAAGGTAGATAATACTCATTACATTGACAAATGCATTATTTGTGATTAAAATAATGGTTGTTGGTAATGTATTAGCGACCCCCACAGATGTATGATTTCACTGCTTTCATAGGAGCTCAGACCCCTCCTTATGGGAGCTCAGTTGCCAATAACCGTGTTCACACCGGAGTACTTTTCCCCGTACTTTTCGCGTTTAGTTCCGTTAGTACCCCTTACGGTTCACACCAAAAAGAGTACTTCAAGCCGGGAACTTTTACCCCCATTTTTAGTGCCTGCTGAGAGATGGTACTTTCCTGGGGGAAAAAAGTGCCCCAGTTCTGATTGGCTGGGCGAATTGCAAACCACGCCCCGTAAAACTCTGAAATGTTTTGTAGAGCCGCCATTTTATTATCCTCGCATTAGCATTATTAGCATTAGCATTCGCCCAGCGCACAAACGCAGAGAGACTAACTTATGGCAACACAAAATAAAATATGGGAGCGGTGGAGATGAGGAGGTGTCGGTGTTCTGGCAATTTACTCGGAAGGCTTCAGTAGAAGCTGCTGGGAGTCCCAGCAGCTTCTACTGAAGCCAGTCCCCAACTCCGGGAACTTCCGGCCGGGGACTTCGGGTGGCAGTATACGCCGTGAAGTTGTTTGCGGCCTGCCAGTAAACCCAAAGCAGAAGAAGAAGAAGTGACGTCAGCGGCTCATTTGCGTAATCTTCCCTCAGGGAACTTATTCCGGTGTGAACGCGATCTGTACTAAATGCCCTGGGGTAATAAGTGCCGGGGCACTGAGTGCAGTCACTAATGGCGCATTTCCACTACACGGTCGGCCTCGGCCACACTCGGTACGGCTCGGTACGGCTTGGCCGCGTTGGGCCTTAACAGGGCCGACTCACTTCATGCTGCGCTTCCATTACAGTTTAGGAACTGGGGTAGTTACTATAGTAACGCAGTGTAGGCGGAGCCGTGACGTCATCTTCAATGAGAAGTCCAGAAACACAACACAGCCGTTAGCTGTTAGCACTCAGAACTCACAGCTCCTTATATATGTTCAGAAACTCGACAAAAGTTAAACAAGTACAAACCACAGACTGCCTGTGTCATGGTGAATACAGTCGCTGCTTTATTTATGTCTGTATAGGCCGTTGTTGTGAGTGTGGACGGTCAGAGCATACACTGCGTTAGCTTAGCCAATCTCCATCTAGAAAAACACGCATTTTAAAAGGTTTTTCGCCTGCCGTCTGTCTGCAGACTTGACAAAGCATTAATTCATGGTTTTTACTAACCGGTATCAGTATGTTGTTACTTCGGCATCATTTTGAAACGTGTATTACAATTAAATCACGGTCAAATATGTCCATCTTGTTGTAGTTCTAGCCCTCTTGCCAGCGCTCCTCTCTCTAGTTTAGCATACTCAGCCCGACTCAGCCCTGTTTGTTGGCCCCGATAGAACCACAATTTTGTCGGGCCAGAAAAGAGGTGAAAAAGTGGCCCCGCGCCGTGCCGCGCCGGAACTAGGCCTAGTGGAAGCACAACCAAAAAAGGGGACGGCACGACACGGCACGCTTAAAGCGAGCTCCGCGCTGCAGTGGAACTGCGCCATTAGTACGGCAAAGTACTTGGTGTGAACGCGGCTATTGGCTCCCACATAACTCGAACCCTGGCTCCAACATCTGATCAAACTCTCCTCTTATCGTCCTCCTGACTTCCAGCCAGACTCGGGCCCCGGACCTCTCCTGTTGGCCGGATACGAGGACGGTTCCCTGTTGCTGTGGGACGTTACCCAGAGGGCCCAGCTGAACCAGACTAAAGCCCACCCTGAGCCCGTCATGTGCCTGACCTTTGACCCCCAGTGTCTGAGAGGCGTCTCTGGCTCCTCTGAGAAGGACCTCTGCTCCTGGAGGCTGGACGGACAGAACAACCTGCAGGTCAGCAGGCTTTCTACTCTAATGTTTCCAAAACCTTTGTGTGTTAATGAAACCCTTCAACCTCCAAAAACTTCCTCTCATGATTTTAAACTAGTCTTATAATGACAGCTATCAATACAACATAAATGTGTTGAAGGTTAGAACAAATATTTGTTTACTATTTTACTAATCAATCATTTAAATTCAGTAGTGTTTTAACCAATTTGTCCATATCTTCAAGGAAACCTATGTTTACAGTGTATTTGTTACTTGTTTCTCCCGGTTTACTTTAATCTAACTATTTTAACCATTAGCAATACCATTTTAGAGCTAATAAGTTCAACCATGTATGCATTACTTTTAGCTAACTATTGTAACTATTTTTCAATCACTTTAAAACAAATACTAACTATATTACCAATTAAAGTAATCCATTACTTTAAGCTATCTATTTTATCATTATAACATTCTTTTTAGCTTTACTGTTTGGGCTACACCCCTTACTCAACCAAACAAATGTTCTATGTATATTCAACTATGCATTTATTATTTGTAACAATATAAACTATTTATCCATAATATTAAGCTTACTGTTAATACTTTTATGATGTTTTGCTGACTAGTTTTCTGGCATTGTCGATCGTAACTTGCAGTATTGACGTGTTACAGCACAATTACTGTTTGATATATTTGAAAAAAAATCTAATCATAATAGCTATACATATTTGAAATGAGTTGTAGTTATTGTTTTTATTCTGCCATCCTTTCTATTACACCTTCACAACTGCAGAAGTGCTGTCTGAAGTGACCCTGCTTAAGGCTCTCCACCCCCTACATGCTAACAAAGTGTTGCACAACAGTCAGCGCCATGAAATATCATAACATGATAATAGAGGAGTTTCGGAGGAGAGTTGTGTTTCTCGAGGCTCTCTTTAGAAAACACCAGGGGCCGAAGAGGAAGAGGCTCAGTGGGGCTGCAGGGGCCATAAATCAGCTGCTGGTTACACAGCGATGGCAGGGCCAGGGGCCAAGGGCCGAGCTGGGGCTGTCACTCCAGACTGAAACCACCCACACACACACACCACACACACACACACACACACACACACACACACACACACACACACACACACACACACACACACACACACACACACACACACACACACACAGTCACACAGTCACACACACAGTCACACATTAGGGCTGGATTATAAACTGTAGTTCTAGAGGAAAAACACGGCACAAAAATATAATTATAACCCAGTTAAAAAATAATACATTATTCCTGTTAACTGGGATAATATTGATACACAAACTTCTTAAAAACACAATACACACTGCTTCACACACACACACACACACACACACACACACACACACACACACACACACACACACACACACACACACACACACACACATACATTAGGGTTGGATTATATACAGTAGTTCAGGATGAAAAACACGGCACAAAAATACCATTATAACCCAGTTAAAAACTAAAATAATACATTATTCCTGTTAACTGGGATAATATTGATACACAAACTTCTTAAAAACACAATACACACTGGTTCTCACCTTAGACTGTATGGTTCTCACACACAAAAAAATAAATATTACACTAAAGCCAACTCCAGAGCATCTTCTGCCCCACCACGCATCAGCTTTGTGCCGTAATTCATTTGACATAACAGCCAGCGCTTCAGAGACTTAACGCCTCATTTGAAGCTGTATTTTCTCTTGATTTCATGAGCAAAAGGGAATGCTCCCATTCTGCAGCCAACGGCCATGAATCAGAGCAGAAGGGAACCCGGGGCTGATATAGTACACGCCTGCACAGTCAAGGGGTATTTTTCTTTCCAGGTCTTTTTACAAATGAATGCTTGAATTAGAAATATTTGCAAAGCCCCACATCTTTTCACCCTGAAAATGAGTTTGCAAAAACACTCTGAAGCATTTGATTCAATATACCAAAAACAGGAGGAGATTGGTTATTTGGTTTATTTTGCTCAAGCAACAAAATATTGATTCAGCGTGTAATCCAGGATGAGGATGACAGGAAAAAAGCACAAGGAAGGGGAAAATATCCAACAGGGGCTTTTAAATTATCCTGTAGTGCAGCTCAGTGTGACGTCCAGACAGCTATCCTCACTTCTTCCCACAAAAGTATTTCTGTGTGGCAGCAGTGAGGGGAGGGGGGGGTGCGAGGACCTGCCGGGTTGCGGACCCGAGTCCTGACGGACGACCCGCGAGAGGTAATAAAAATATCAAAACCTCGGAGGCCCCCTTAACCAAACAAAAAACACATCTGCAGTAAAGGGAACAGTAGTTCACAGTGGGAGGCTGCAATACAGGCTGAGGAGGCTATAAGTGCCACAGCATCCCACTTCCCACAAATTAACCCTGAGATACCGTTGAATTCAGCGGCGAGGAAGATAAATGCTTTTCGTGTAATGGAGGGGAAACTGAATGTGACACAACCCAGTGCATTGATGATTTAGTGAAGCTGAGGGGCTGTGAAGTGAGTTTATCAAGGCCCGCCAAAGACAGATAGCCTCAGGAATGGAGGTTAATGTAATACACATGGCTCCCAGAGGCCTTTATCTGCCGTTTGACCCGGCTGCCCTGATATCGTTTCATAGTAATGAGGCATCATCTTCGGCCCTTTTTTTTTTTTCTTCTCCCTTTCCTAGCGTTACAGTTTCGGGGGAATGTGTCAGGGTGAGATTATGAAGGGTATTGGTGTCGGGGCTTTACAAGCTGTTAAGCCAGATGGACATATATTTAGGCGGCCACTCAAATGTATTGATAAGCGCAGCGACGTGTTCGTTCAGGTGAAAGAAAAAGGTTGCAGAATGCAGGTATGGACACAGGGAGATTAGCAATGTAAATCAAGCGTGGCTGACGGCGAGCTACTTCTGAGGCTGATGACAGTTCTCTAAAACAAATCCCCAAAGTCTCCTAAATATTCACCTAGTGGTCACTTATATGGTGTCTCCTGTGAATGTTATTCGGGTCATATCAACCTCAGTCTGCTAAAGGACTGATGTAAGTCTGAGCTGCTGTCATAAAAATAAAAGCTCTCTTCTCCTTCGGTCTGCTTTGACACATCCATCTCCTGTCAGCCTCAGCCAGGCTCTGACAGGCGAGGTGACAAAAGGCTGTAATCTCCCTGCCGCTCAGTGTGATTCAGGGACAGGGTGTGTCAGAAATACCTGCGAAAAAGCCTCCCGGCCGCTAGGCTCAAGTGAGTAAGCGATGACGGGACGTTTCAGTGGATGAGCGTGAACGCCAAGACCGAGGGGAAAGGCGAGGGGGTAGGAAAGTGGAGCGAGGCTTGAGTGAGATCTGCCAAGTGGACGCTCCGTTTGAACGTCTCCTCTGTCGGTGAGAGGCTACAAAAGAGGATCCCGAAGTGTGAGTTTGTGTTGGATCTGTCGGAGGCCGCAAGATGTGTAGTGGGCCCAGCTGCGGTCGCCTCCTGACAGCTGACAAAGCAAGCTTGCTGTGAGTGTGTGCGAGTGTGTGTGGATGCTGTAACACAGGGGAGAAAGGAGTGTTTAAACAAAAAATAGGGTTTCAGATTAAATGAGACTCCCAAGACTCCCCCGATGGAGACATTGGATTTTATTGCAGTTAGACCTGTTTAATGGTAAATCCATTTAATAATGGTGTGTACTGATGGCAAGAACACTGCTGCTGGAATGACAGCACAATTTAATCCATTCACTTTTTGAGGACAAATTAATGGGCTTCAACTTCCATTTTATTGTCCATTTATCTGAGGATTGATTTCACATTGTTTCTTTTTCCCAACGCTCAAGGGGATGACTTCAGATTGCTTGTTATTCACACGACTTGGGCTGCAACATTTTAGCAAAATCGCAATATGGATTAGTGCAATATCCAAATCGCAGTAAGCACAATATTTAGTAAAGGCAAAATATGTGAAAAATATCTGAATGAAGTTTTGTGGAGCTATGGAGAAGTCCTTGTAAATAGAACTCTACAGACTTAAGAAAATGTCCTTGTTAGTGTCAGACGCCATTTTAAAAAATCCCACCATAATGATTCAATACATTTAAAATGTTTCCAAATGCAGCCCTACCACCAACAGTGCAAAAATATAAAATGTGCTCTTTTCCCTCCATCCCGAGAGTTTGTTGTTGGTGTTACCGCTCTCATGACGGTCAATGGGAAGCAGCCAGTTAGCTTAGCACAACAAAATTGGAAACAGGAAGCCTGAATGCGTTCATAATTTTTAACTATTACTTAAATAAATTACCTAAACAATTAATTGTTCATTTAAAAAACAATATATGACAGGGTGTTAGACATCTAAAAGAAATATCACTTAGAAACCAGCCTAGCTGCCTATAAGCCCCATTAATTTGACATTATAGCCCAGGAGAATCTTTTATTTTCTCACCACTTTCCATGTTCTCACACTGTAGAAAGTAAAATCACTTCACCAGCTCTGCTGAACGACCATTACTTCATCATTAGCCAGTTACTGCTTACGTTTGACCTTTTAATGAAACAAATGCCTTTTACCGGACACAAACTATGGGAAGCAAAACAAACAAAAACAGACACTTAAACCCATCATTATCAGGCCTCTAATGCAAACCAGATGGAGAGCGGTAGGGGCATACCAACTTCTTGAGGTAATAACAAAAGCTCAAAACAATCTTTCACCCCCCGGGTTTCTTTGTATCAGTGTATCTGGTTGTTTGGTCGAACCAGACACACTCTCTTTCGCACCAGTGGTACCAGCGATGATGGTTTGATAAACAAAAGCAACCCCATCACTGCGTGTCCTGAACTCGCTCAGAACCAGAATCGGTTTTATTATCAAGTAGGTTTACACGTAAGAGGAATTGGCTTTGGTGTAGATGGATAGATAGATAGATGGATAGATAGGTAGATAGATAGATAGATAGATAGATAGATAGATAGATAGATAGATAGATGGATCGGTAGATAGATAGATAGATAGATAGATAGATAGGTAGACAGATAGATAGATAGATAGATAGATAGGTAGATAGATAGGTAGATAGATAGATAGATAGATAGATAGATAGATAGATAGATAGATGGATCGGTAGATAGATAGATAGATAGATAGATGGATAGATGGATAGATAGGTAGATAGATAGGCAGATAGATAGGTAGATAGATAGGCAGATAGATAGGTAGATAGATAGATGGATAGATAGGTAGATAGATAGATAGGTAGATAGATAGATAGATGGGTAGATAGATAGGCAGATAGATAGGTAGATAGCTAGGTAGATAGGTAGATAGATAGATAGGCAGATAGATAGATAGATAGGTAGATAGATAGGTAGATAGATAGATAGATAGATACTATACTTTATTGATCCCAATCTGGGAAATGTTTGCGTTGCAGCAGCATAATAGAAAAATTAAAGACACAAGAAACAGTCCAAAGATATTTCTGAAATAGAAATAAAATAGCATTAAATATATATATATATGTAAACGGTGCACACAAAGACACAGAAAGAGGAATATGTTGTTTTTTTTAAGAAAGGAGCAAGAAATAGTATTTTAAAAGACTTTTGTTACAAAGAAAAAATAAACACAATATTTACACAAAATGTAAATCTGTAAGAAACTGAGTACCATAAAATATGACAAATGCTATATTCAAAGTGGAGCGCGGTGTAGATTTAAAACGCTGCACAGCTCGCTCTGTTTTGATCAATGACATTCCTCCCTGCCTTTCCTCTCTCTTGCATTCCACTTTATCCACTTGGGCCATGAGTACCTGGCTTATATCTTCCACATGCGGCTCGTGGATGGTTCCTGCCCGGAACAGGAGCACGCAGATAAATTCTCCACCGTCTCCTCCCATCGCAGGCCATTAGTCTCCCTAGACACAGCTTATGAAGTCAATTATACGCTGTCCAGTTTGATTTCAGCTCCCAGATCCAGATGTTTGTGTCCCATCTACAGGTCCTGCAGAGATCCCTAGCTTGCAGGAAAAGCACGTTCTCTCCCCAGGAATGCCCTCCACAGCAGGCCCTTTAGATAGTGATCTTCGCCGCCATTCATTATAATATGTCAGAAAGTTGCCCCTTTTTAGAGAGATTGATACAGTTCTTGGACACGGCTAGAGGGAGCTGTGGCTAATCTTTCACAGGCAGACGCTACAACGGTGTATTTATCGGTGAGTCTCTTCTCCCGCTGACCGGACCTTTCAGTGCGACTGTAATTCATCAGAGGCGTTTAAAGCAACAAGGCCTCTGCAAACAAGCATTTCAGCGAGACGGTCTCTCTTGCAAACTGTGACAAAGGTAACTCCATGCCCCGCTTCCAGAACAGGCCTCCCCTAACTCCAAACCAAATAGCGGTACGCAGAGAGATCTGCTCGCTGCCCTCGTGCCGTAATGTTTTATGGCCGATGATTGAGTCTGCAGCGGTTCAACAGACACTCACACTTAGAGCTCAGTCATCAGATCAGCTGATAGGCTCTCCATGTCGGTGTTTTTGTTGGACTCGGTTTCCTAGACGGCAGTGATTAATCGACTCGGTGACCTAATTAGTTTGTCTGATTATTTTTGTCTCCTTATTTGCGTTAATAATTTTTTGGTTTTAGGTTTCTTTGACAATTACCACAACGAAAGTGCTACTCGTCAAAGAGTTTCAAATACATTTAAATAGGTCTCAGCATGCACGTTTGATTCATGGTTTTTCTCCCCGGCTGAAATCCTTTTCCTCTCTGTGGTTTTGCAGCTCCAGGACTCTGTGACGCTGGTCAACCCTGGGGTTTCCCAGCTGTGTGTCAGGGGTGACGGTAAACTCCTGGCCTCAGCGGGCTGGGACCATCGGGTGCGGATATTCGGGTGGAAGAAGCTGCGACCGCTGGCCGTGCTTCAGTACCACACCGACCTGGTGCTAAGCGTGGCCTTCTCTGACCACCAGGACCCCCGACAGAGACTGCTGGCTGCTGGATCCAAAGACCAGCGCATCAGCCTGTGGTCTTTATTCAACGAGGGGGCGGACACTGGCTGAACCTCGAAGCTCTGGGAGGATTTATGGACTTTTAATCAGTTCTTTCTACTGATTTCAATGTGACCCCGAATGGTGTCAGTGGCCAAAATGGCAGCTTTTCAGGGCAATGAAGCAATGCCCTTATATAACAATGTTTTACTCATTGTTTGTCATAAAACCACCACCTTCTTCAACTTTCTCAACTGAGAGAGTTACAGATGCATATGGACTATAATGGGAAAGATAATACTGTATGTGACTATTACACATAACAATTGTAGCCTCTGCTTGGACCCAACAACTGACTTTAGTGACTTGGTGATTACTGTAAGTCAATGAGGAGGTAATAAAAAAAGAAAAACTGATAAATATAGTGGTGGGCTGCTAATATGTTCTCAATTTGTCCTTAAATGATTTCAAGATAATACTACACAACCATCCCTGATTTTGTTATATTATGTATTGTTTTTTTGTTATTACTATTCTTTCATCAACAAATCTAAATGCCATTTCCCAAACAATGTGTACAGTTAACATCAGAAATATGAAGGTCAACATGTGTGATATTAGAATAGAAAAACCTTGTTAACTCTGGTAGGTTGTTGTTAACACAGCGTACGTCGGGCATATTGTTGTCTTTTTTAAATACGATTTTCTCAAGCATGTGTTACACAATATTCTCATTGATACATAATACAGTATTTTCATTGTGTAAACATATATATATACACCTGTTTATATCTATGGCAGCTGGATATAACCACAGAAAAAGCAGAAATATCTGATCTATTCCAAATAGTTCACGAGGCTCTTGTTGACCACTATTGCCAGCCCCTGTTTACTGAAGCCTTTGTGATGCTGTGTGCAACTATGTGATTGTGTTGACTTATCTGATGGAGATTTGCTCCAGTGGACCTGAATTTGAGGTATAGAGCGCACCTGAGCAGCTCTGTAATCGTGTGTTGTTATTCTAGCAGCTCTTAGCTTAACACACAGCCTGACCTGGGCTGTATTTGTCAAACAAGGTTAATCACAGCAGGGACATAAGGAACAGAGGGCTGTTGGTTTAGTGGTTTCTGGTGATCTGCAGAGGCTCTCTGTGGTCAGTGTTACCTGTGTATGAGCTGGTTTTATTTTCTTAACAAGTACTACTTCTTTGTTAATGAAAAATGTCAGAAAACTGAAGAAATCTACACATCAAGTTAAAGAATTAAGTAAGGGGGTAAAGTAAGAGATATGTTTTGGTATCATCTGTAAGGGTGATCAAAAGCATTTGGAATGAAACGATTGTTAACTCTACTTCACATTCAATGCCATATAGAGTGGTGCAGGAATGAGTCTTACAAACTGAAAAAGAGTGCATTTCCCCACTTCTGGTTCCCTCGTCTTAAAGTCAATGGTTTTTGAATTCGTTTTTTTGTTTAAATGCCTGAAATAAGCTCTGTGGTGTACACACTCGTAATATATTGAAGCTTATTTTGTTCTACGACATAACAAAACGACAGTTGGTAAAAGATTACCAAACGACACTAACAAACACCAGCACTCTGAATATTAGCCACCTTTAGCTTAGCGGTTGTGATATAAAGTCATGTGACCGTGATATAATAAATTAGTTTGTAACATAATGTTAGCTTTTTAATTCTGGCAACTGCATTTCCCCTTTAAAAATCATACAAGTGGTGTTAGTATGTGGAGATTATCCTGCTGAATGAAATGTGTTAAGTATCATAAACGTGTGTTGGCCACTGAGCTTTTATCCTGCAATATACCGAAATCCAATTGATAAAATGTTGTCGAAGGAGCCCTTGTGATGCTAACTTCTGTGTCGGCCATCTCTGCACAATTTCTATACAGATGTATTTTTAAGAAACAGACATTTGTCATGAACAAGGCCAAAGGTGGTCCTGTTGTGAAAGTCCCAGAGAAAATAGAGGTGTTGTTTTTCTGTCTCTAATAATATCTCTGAGTCAACGAGCAGCATGGGAGCTCATGTGTTACAGCAGTGTGTTGGGAGGCCGGGGGCTTCAAACGCTGCACGTTCTGCTTCATAAAGGCTTCGTCTCCTGGGATGACCCCGAGTTGAAGAGCTCATCATGCTGTACAGGAAGGGCCTGAGAAATCAAAGAGCCAGACCAGCATAATGGCCCCGAATCATTAGTGAACAGAGGAAAGACAAGGTCATTCGCTAGCTGTGACGCTACTGTCATGGGGGGGGGGGAAAGAGAATAGCTGCAGTTTTGGTTGCTTGCATCAAATTCTTGTTTTGCATGAGTTGTTTCTGTGCTCATAACTTGTTGAATTCCCTTTTTTTTTATCATTTAAAAAACTCATGGAATAAGACAAGGGCGTCCAAACTACGGCCCATTTTGAATCGGCCCTCAGCAAATTCTAAAAGTATAATGGAGTATGGCCCAGAAATGAAACTTGTGCTTGTCTTATATTGTACTTCTTAAATATAAATGTAAAAATATATTACACAGTATTCATGTGTTGATGAGACCACTTTTCAAATAAATTCAGTCAATTAAAGTTGGAAACATTTTCTTACATATCTTAGTTGATAAGAAAAAAGCCCAATGACTTATTTCCATAACAAGCTTGAAATACACCCTTCCTATTTCTCCTTATTATAATCAATCTGAGGCTTCTGTTTTAAGGGATGAGCTGCCAACACTCACAAGCATCATGTACCTACATTTGATTCCTTTTTCTAACTAATAACTGAACTTATGAGGCAATAAACCTCTAGTGAGCGGCCCAGCCCTTCGTATATTTTTCTGTATGTGACCCTCTGTGAAAAAAGTTTGGACACCCCTGGAATAAGACCTTTTTCTCTGGCTGGTTTTAATGACATGTTGTCCCTGTTCCCCGCAAAGCTCCAGATCTACCTTTTGTGTCTGACCCCGCAAGTGACATGTCGCATTCATACTAACTTCCTAACTCTCCTGTTGGCTTTGAACAAACACTCGTGGTGGCGTGGGCCAGCTTCCGTCCATTCTCTGATAAATCAAATGCTGAATCCATTGGAGCAGACGGCAACCGGCTGGCTTTAGAAGTGCCTGTTGGGGTGGCGGTGGACCTCATAAATCACTTCATAATGGATCATTTAGGAAGTCAATAAATGGACAGGGATACCGTGTGCACAATAGCCCCCGTGCTTCACTTATCACCTAACGTGTGTCCTCCTTGGCCTTGAGGGTCAGAGGTCAGCCTGGCTCAGGGATCGGACATTATCCATTGCCTTTTGTTGGTGTTGGTGTGTGAGTGTGTGTGTGGTGGATGCCTTTACTCCCTGAGCCTTTGGGTGCATTCATGGACATGTGAGACGTCACACTGAGCCTGATTATTTTTAAATTAATGGTTGAGGAAAATAATCCCGTCTGTAGAAGCCAAAACCAATGTTCCGCCTCACGGCTAAGTTGGTTTTATTTATTTTTTCAAATGTGACTTAATACAAATGTATTAAGTCTGTTGCCCAGTGGTGATGATGTGTTTTGATGTTCTGTATAAAATGTCCGTCAGCAGCCTCATACACACCATAAACCCTAGTACCTTTTGTATTAGTTGAGAGGCCATGGTTAGGGGGGGTTTAGGTACAGGACTCTGATTGGTTTACCTGCCTTGTTTTTAATAACTGTCCCCAGATTCGGCATGCAGGGAGGCAGCAGAAATGTACACAGAGGTGGAGCGAACTAATGGAGACCCTGATAGGCCGGTCACTACAGATGTTCCAGATGCAGCTGGGTGTCAACGGATGCTTTAGGTCGCATTATCATCCATCCTCTGCCTCTCCATACTTCACTGGCAAGTCCTTGGCACTGTTTCTCCGTGAGTCTGAGACATCTGGGCACAGTATTGTAACTGAGCGGGTTGCTCTTTTCCTCCGTGTGAAACGAAGGCCTGTTGAAAGCATGCCGAAGCATATAAAGGTGCACGTGAAGAAATGTAATGTGGTAAAATATTCCAATGTACGCTTTATAATGATAATATAAGATGGTATTGAGGTGCAATTCATGATAATTCCTCCAGTAGGCGCAGTTTCACTGATTGCAACAACAAGAAAAAGTATTTACTTCACAATAATTAAAAATATCTGTAATCTTAGCCTATAAAACAACTTTATTCAGTAGGCTATAATGAAGCTTAATTAAGGTGCTAAACAATAAATGACGCGTGTGCCTTATTTGAATATCTATATGTAGATATGGTCCCTTAAGACTATAGGACAGGGTTACAAAATGAGGTCGGCCCTCAGGCTTCAATGTCAAGTCTCCTCAGACTGATGCATACTCCACCAGGGACACCATTTATTAAGAATGCAACATATGCAGGACATTTTCATTGCTGGATTGGGTTTAGATAACATTTGGACCACTCTCTTAATGGTGCAGGTGGTGAGAGAGACCGAAGGGGCTGTGAGATATTACTCGTCATAGGCTACTGTACGTAACAAAAATGTGAGGTAGTTGTACTCTACTCTTATTGAATCCTTTTATTTAATGCTAGTCGAAATGTAAACAAATGCAAAATATTGTACATTTGATTGTTTACCGGTAAAGATTTGCCATGCTAATGTCAGTCGTCCTGCTTTGGACAGACTGTACTAAAACGGTTGTGCATCAGCAGTGCCAGTAATGTTTCCTTTGCGTTGTGAAACCTATATTTAGTCCGCATATCGCTTTTTGACTCTTCCACAACACCGATAAACTCACTATCGTCTCCCGCTGCTTCTGGACTTCCGCCCGGCTCTCCTCTGCACCTGCAGGCCGGCGACGGTGCTCCACAGGCGGCTGCCTGACCAGACGACAGGGGCAGCAACAGCGACACTGAACCGGCTCTGTGGGCCATGTTTACAGTATGAGCAAGTACAGATTTGTTGAAGTTATATTTGTGTGTTTCCTTGTTGGGCTTATTATGACTTAACTTTAACTAAATGTACGTTCAATTAGGGACTAGTTAGCTACAGTTATATTGACACTTGCTTGTCAAATGGGCATATTAGTGTTATTTTATTTATTGTAATGATGCTACATAGCTAGAATAGACCTTTCAGGATATATTAAAACTTAATTTCCCATAGTGACAACATAATATAGTTATATTGCAAAGTAAAAGCTTTAGTCACCTTCCCAACCATCTTCTTCTTCTTTTTTGTACCACCAAAATTGGTGTCCACACGAGTGGAAACATTATTTAACCTTTGACACATTATAAGCCTTTAACATTATAGACAAACTACTTTAAGGAGCTTCACAACAGCCTGTCAGAGATTTAGCAAAGGGAAGCAAAATGTTGCTCAAATGTTTAAATACAAACACTGTGTTAATGCCTCTGAATTTTAAATAAAGTGGTGCTCTTATGAGGGAATAATTAGCTAAAGTGAAATTGACACTGCTTGTCAAGTAGGCCCATTATATTTTACATATTTGAATGATGCTAAGTAGCTACAATCGATCTTTTAGGCTGCCATTCTCCATATTGACTTCAGTTCAATTGCAAATCAAAGCACACATTTTCTTTACAACAAATTAGTCTGCGTTAAAATAAGTGGAAACATTATTTAACCTTTGACACCTTTACAAGCCATTGAAACTACATTAAGGAGTTGCACAAAAGCCTGTTGGAGATGTCGCAAACCAGGCAATGAGATACAAAATGTTGCTCAATTTAAAAATAAAAACACTATGAATGCCTGAATTTTAAGTAAAATAGCACTAACTGAGGGCATTGTTACAGTACATTGTAGGCCAATTAGATATATTTGATATCTTTTAATGATGCTAAGTTGCCTTCATAATATACTTTCATTGTAAAGTAAAAGCTTTACTCAGCCCCCGAATAACAACAACAAAATCTACAACCAATTAGCCTGCGTTTAAATAAGTGGAAACATTATTTAACCTTTGACACCTTTACAAGCCATTAAACAGTCAGAGGTCAGGCGTCCTCAGGCATCCTTCCCCTGCTGGGTTCAAGGAGGAAAAATACATTATTGAAATGAATCATTGGGGAATGTTTCCTTTTGTATTGTGACAGACACACATCCCAAAGCAGACTGTTTTCCCCCCAACGAGATTAACCTTGACAACAAAGCATTCCTCATAGGACTTCAAATAGGAGATGGAAATGGCCGCACAGATAGGAGACCGTGACGTTCTTTAAAAATGACCCAACTGTCACATTAAATATGACCAATGATATCCTTTCGGGGAGAGAGGAAATGTAAAGTCTGTCTTTTTTCAACTTTGAATAACATGACGGGTTCTTTTTTTTCTTGGAAGTTAGATTTTGAAAAGACACATTTCAAAATAGTTTTTTTTTACAGAATGTTTTGCAAAAATAGGATGCTGCATGACTTTTAGATAACAAAAAAGTGGTTTAGTGTTCCAGTTTTTTAAATTTGTATTATACCTCTTATAGTTTAGGCACTCTTTAGCAGTTTTCCTATTTTATTTTATTTATGGAAAATAATATACAGTTTTAAATGACCTTGGTTTAGATTATTTCTATTAATCACTGTAAGACTTTAACAGTAAATTCAAGAGGGAAGTACAGTACGGTCGATGAGTGCATTTATGTGTTTTGCTTCCTCTTTTTTTTCATAGCACCAGCTGCAGATTTCAACATTTGAACTACAGTGCAGGCTAATGTTTAGACAGCCTCCTGGTCCTGACTTCCAACGACTGCAGGAACAACAGACACCTCAACCCAATGAAGCAGGGCAGATCCGGTCAGAGAAACCAGAACAATGCTCTCAGTGAGGTAAGCTTATTTCCCCCTTCAGCAGTGCAACAGCAGGCAAAGCTTTGAATGGAAGATCTGCTCAAAGATTTTTATGAATTACAAGAATTTAATGTTTATTTTACAGATACAGAACAGTCATTCTGCTTCATTTATTTACTTTGAATTGCTGCAAGTCAGTGCCATGGTACAAGCTTCTCAGAGCGGCTCAAGATGTTCAAAATCAAATCTTGTATTTCTTTTATTTTTTATACCTCAAACAAAAACATTTGGGTGTTTTTCGACACCCTCTCTGATGAGCTCAACATGCAAACATCTCGTCTACCTAGAAGGTTGATGTACTATATAACATATGGCTTTTTTGAAAGCAATAAAAACAAATCAAAAAGTGCATCCAACACAAAAAAATAATTCAATTCCAGTCTGTGATCAAAGGTATTGTCCGTGTTAAGGAGAGGTCCCTCCTGCCTCCTCTGTTTTCTGGCTCAATGTCCGCACCGCTCGCCGTGGAGCTTTTCCCATTCGGGTTCAAAGGTCAAAGCAGGCCTCTGAAAGGACTCAGAGCAGGTGCTTAGCGCAGAGATGCATTTCCTTTAAATAAATACGGGGTTTATCCAGCAGAGTTTCAGGCGGTGGACGCACCCCACAGGTTGCCATCAATAGACAGGACTGTGTTGCCTTTCCTGTTTCCATTTCCCACAATGCATCGCTCCTTACCGGGGCCCGTAGTCATAGTTAGAGGGGCCGCTGGTGGCTGAGTACATGTTAGCCGTGGCTGGGTTCATGTGGTGGTGGTACGTGTGTCCTCTGATGCCGGGTAAAGGGTAGGGCGAGGGCCGGGTCTTGGCTCCCAGGTAGTGTTCGTAGGTGGTGGGGTACTTGTAGGGGTGGTGGTGCAGGGTGTCGGGCGGGAGACCGTGGGGGTCTTGGCGAAGGTCGTGGGGGGGGCTGGGTCTGCCGCTGGAGAGTGAGACGCCGTGGAGGCCCCCCGGGACGGGCAGGGCGGGGCTGAGGACCCGGGACATCAGCTGGTGGGCCGGGTCTCCGTGTATGGGCGTGCCGCTGGGGTCCCGCTCGTACTCCCTCCTGCTGTCCTCTAAAGAAAGACAGGAGAAAACAGTCAGAGCTAGCCAATGTGTTGTGAATACCAGCAGGCTGTGTGTTTTCATAAACTGTGTGTGTGTGTGTGTGTGTGTGTGTGTGTGTGTGTGTGTGTGTGTTTAGTTCTGCACTCCATGACATATAAGGGTTTCTGAATCATCCCTGGTTTTGAATTTAAGCCAGTAACAGATTGCAGGGGGTACTGATAATCACAATTGAAAACCCCTAAAATGAATAGTATTTGTTATATTATTCTCAAGGTCAAATAGTATTTAGATAGATATTATATATCTAAACAAATTATCATATATTATTAATACTAACATCTGTTATTGTCCAAAAAATGCATGCAAATACACTCAAAAGAAATCAAAATAGTTTTGTTTTTTTATAAATCAGAGCTATAGAATCCCTTCAGATGGATTACAGGTTGTTTGAAGCCAGGGTGAAACTAATTATTATTATTAAACTAATAAACAAATACATTTTATGTCAAGAAAAAGTAATATTCATTGCAGGTTTTACTCTAAAATAAATCTATCATCTGGTATATGATAGCACAATACCCTGTGTGGTTGACTTGGACTGTGAATGCAGCATTGTGCTGAACTTAATGATACAAAATGAAAAGAAAATGAGGTGAAAGATGCCAAAAATGAAAGAAAAACATTTCCTCTAAAGGCTGAATAACTTAATATGAATATGGTTTATATTTGATAGCAGGCATGAGATGTGAAATGAAACAAAGAGCGAGCTGCATACCTTTCTCGGAGCCGTTCTGCGGAGGCGGGGACGACATTGGGTTTCTTGTTCTGGCAAAGGCACTCATTATTGGCAGACAGCCTGGTCTGTGATTCCTGGGCCTGGAGCAGGGAGAAAGAGGATTCAGTTACACTCAGTTAATGAATGTCAAAAGGCACCATGTCTTTATTATATATTAAAATGATGAATGCACATTTTAAGAGTTTACACTGTTGCGTGTAATTCACTTTAACACATTGACAGGCAACCAAATGTACAATTAACGAAGCCACCTATTACATAACTCAGATTGGCCTGTTCTGCAAACTAATACAAAATTCCCATAAACCTTAGCGTGATCTGTTTACCTAATGCTCCGAAGAAAAAATACATTTGCAGGGGTGGATGAGCAGCGTTTGGATACGTTTGTGCATTGTGTTTTGCAGTTGGGTGTGGTTTATTCTATTGTTACAATTACGAGTGTGTGTGGTAATTAGCCATTGACGGGAGAGCATGGTCTGTTGACTTCCAAACAATATGCCCTGATTTGTAAACGTCATGGCACACATTGCAGTTGTTATTATGGCAAACTCCACCCATCTGGCAACTGTGTGAGATTAGACAAACAGCCAAACTATTTTACAAATGCGCTCTGTGCTGTGTTGAACATTTCTACACCATGTGGAAACATGCCAGCGGGCTTTATGTTGAGAGCACACTCACCAGTCCTCTGGGTCACAGTCCCTGAAGCCCTTTGCGAAGGGATTGCTGGCTATCTTCAGCTGCGTGATCTGAAATCCAGAACATCAAATAAACCTCAGTGCACTCGTACACAAAGTCATTCTGATAAGGCATTGCATTTGATTCCTATTAGAAATCACAGCTGCGGTAGAGTAGCATGATGGGGCTGGCCATTTTGGATTGGAAAGCTCTTCTGTCCATATCTTGAACACAACGCTTTGATTTTAATAATATTTGAGAAATCTTACAGGTCTGCTGTTCAGCATCATGTCCATTCATGTTATTTAAAACACAGGTGAATTCATATAACTGCCAGTTAATATAAAGCTTATTTAGCATTTATTTCTGAACTATTTTGTAACCTTTGGATCTGCACAGTATCTCATTTGTAGATTTCCATTCATGCACTGCAGTCCTAAATAAAGTAGTGATATGCTACACAATTATCATTTTTCAAGATTCAAATCAAATGTTAATATGTTTCATGTTCTCACTTCATGAGTCACATTATGAATTATTGTGTCATATTTAATATAAAAAAGGACAAAGTTATTGTATCTCCTGTTCACAGTGCGACCATGGAAATACACTCTAAAAAACGTCCATTTTAAGACATCATTAGATTTGAGTTGATACAGACTTGAATCAAGTGTGAGATATAATAGTAATTATTGAAATAAGATTTCTATAAACAAACTTCATCATCTCACACAAGCAGCTCTTTCTCATTATTCTCAAAACAAGTTCAGTTAGAATTGTTTGACTAGATATAGGATGGTTAGTCTTAGCAGGATCAGGAGTTTTTGCAGTGTATCCCATTACGCAACCAATCAGATTACTTTTCTGATAGCAGACACATTTTATTCCAATGTTTCACTCGTCAGACTCGCTTTGAATAACTGCTGATGCACTCATGTGTTAATCTAAACAGACCTCAAGTCTGATGGAAAAAAGGAGCGATGCAGAACAGCTAGCGCAGAGTAAAGGCAACATTTACGCAAAACAAAAAAGCGCGCATAAGAAGACATTTAGATTTTCTTAGGATAATTCGTTTATGCATTTAAACAAAATCGATAACAACAACATTTAAAAAAATATATCCAGTTGTTAATTAATATTTGATTTTAAAGTGTTCTTTTTTATGGTAGTAGTTTCTCATACTACCACTTTACCCACCATGCTTCATCCATTAATGTTACATTTAAGGTAAAGCCCCTTTAGAATAGGGTCAGTTTCTGCACCCCACCCCACATTTCTTTCACACAGGGTAATAAGGTCTCTTACCCGGTGGTTCTGGTAGGCTGTGACTGCTGTGAAGCGGGTCTCCTCAAAAACAAAGGTCTTGTAATTCTCCTCGGCATATTTCTCGCTGTCCTTGCGGGGGTCCACATAAACCACGTGGAACCGGGGCTGGTATCGGTGCATGGAGTTCAGGATGATCTGGAAAAATACATCATATTATTGTTTTATGTCTTATATATATTTAGGTTGCATTGTTGGAGACGTAAGATGTTCATAAATACGCTGTGCATATGACAATAGAGCCTTTGAATCTTGAATCAGCACTGAAGGAACGATCTCCTGAAACTCAGTAAGACTATTTTCGATTATAAAAAAATGGAAAAACTGATCAAATGAATAAATATATCTTGGTTGGATAACATAAAACAAATGTATTTATAATAAACTATCTTGAAAACAAAACGAGTTAGAATGGTGGCCTTTAAAATAATCGCATGTGACGTTGTCAAACATATTCATTATACGTATTTGTGGATACAAAAATAAGCAGTTTGGTAAATAGCCTACCATTACATACAGAAATAACCTGACGCTCGTTACATTTGCAGACATTTATCTGAATATATAAAGACCATGAGTCACTAATGTTATCAGCACATCATCGTCTCGATATATCCACATTCCATGCAGCAGCGATGGGCTTTTCCGACCATTTTCCATATAATCTAAAATAGCCTTTACCGCCGGTAAAACTAATACAACAATCACTCAGAATCACTCAGAGAGGAAGATCCAGCGCGAGGGTGAAACAATTCCCATCAATGATGAAATATTCTACTTTCTTTCCGTCATTTTTGGAGCAAAGCCTGATTTGCTGTGCCATTTTGTGGAGTGAGAAAAGCTTTTTGGCCACATCGGACTATTAGTCCAAATAACAAGTTGTATTATTGTATAATCACCCGTATTAATCAATTTGAGGGGGCCAAACCTCTCCTTCACAGTAACGTTAATTCAATGAGTTTACAGTTTATGCATCACCAGTTGGTCTAGTTTTTGTTTGACCTTTTAAGATGTTGGTTTATCGTACAAGGCTCTCAAATATGAAAACTCTACAAATACAGTACATTAAGTCGTTGTGTATTAAATAATTATTCGCATATAGTGACTTTATAGGCCGTCTGCATGATAACTCTAATTTGTCGAAATGAACTTCGGCCCACACTGTGTGTTTGTAGAAGTTATGCTCATCTTTTTTGCATGGATTCATTTCCAGTGGTGTACTCACATGGCCGTTGTCATCCAGCAGGTTGTTGGTGAGCTTGAGTTTATCAAAAGAGACAATCTGCTTCATCCACTGCGCGCCTTTGGCCGGAGAGTCCGGGTGGTAGTGCACCCTGCCCGGCGTGGCGGGGTCCGCTTTACCGGCGACCAGCCACGAGGAACTGTGGAAAGCATACCTGAGAGATGGAAACATCTCAAATTAGAAATGTTCCCACATCATCAATAAAAGTGTTGCCTTAAATGTCAATGCATGTGCTGACATGAGATACACAAACGGAAGCTATTCAGAAATTATAATAGGCCTATGCCTCATAACATAACAAATATGATAGCGAATATGTCTCCAATAGTCACCAACATAATTCTAGTATGAATCGGTTCATTTTAGAAATGTTTAGGCTATATTTATTTCCGATTTATTATTTATTTCAAATTTAGTTTGCTTGGTGTAATTTACCACTGTAGTGCAAAGTATGCGTTGTGCACCTTGCCAAAAATATTTCGGACTAGTCCAATTTTAACGCTCTTGCAGTGTCCGATGTGTGCGCAGTTGTGCAAATAGTTACCTGTAACGTTTGTCGTCTACGGGCAGGAAGTCCATCAGCAGCATGTAGTCTGACATGGGATCCATCCCGAATATTTTCACTTGGAAAGTTGGAAACATTCTCCTGGAAAAGGAAAAACACACATCGACTGTTAGGCTTTTTGTTGCTTTGGCTGCCTTCACGTGCTCACATTTAGTATTCAGAACACTAGATCCTCAGTGTGTGAACGGTGCTTTTCAACTGTTAGAAATGAATGGAATTCGTCACAGGAGTAAACTAATTATTTTGCCAAATGATTTTTGTACAAAGCCAGAGGGCCGTGCAGCTCCCGGCCTGCTGAGCTTCATTTGGCCCGAGCAACAGGAAGACATGAGCTCCGTGCTTTTGGACATGACGTGATCCCGTCCGTGCGTAACCAGATACAACTCTCCTTCATCTGAATGGAGCTTTGGGTTTGTTGCCTTTTTTTGCTCCGCTTTCGCAACTCGTGGAAAGACTCGTTAACTTATCTTCTGCTGATTTGACGAATTCCAGACACATGAAGGGCTACACACATGTAGTGGAAATACACACATGCGCGTAATGGGTATAGACGAAGTGTCATTAATGTTCCAACAAATATCCAGAATTGTGTCTGTATGAAAAAACATGGAATCATTTGGAGGCAGTGCTCTCTATATCTCTCCTATTTAAATGTATTTGCAATCACGTGTCTGCTTTGTCTCCAACAAAGTGGATTGCATCGCTCTTGGTCTTTCAGATGCAGGGGCTCGTTTAGCGGCCATGACCACAAACATTTGTTTTTCTCCTCCATCTTATCTAGGTAACTACGCAGGGCAGATCCATATCCCCTAAGAACACGGGTTGAAAGTTGAGTAATCCGCGGAGTCAGTGAAAGGGATCCTAAAATCAACGCTCAATTAACGTCGTGTTGTGGCTAGGTGAGGCTGAAGGAGCCTCTAAAGTGCTCTGCTGCAGATCTGCTTTCTCCTGTCAGAAACTCAACCCTCACTTTCAGGATTAGATCAATTATCTCATGCCTCTTTATATTACGATAATACAGGATAAAGTCAGGAAGGCATTTGGAGACGCTTTTACGCGCCATGTTCACTGTTTACTCGTTAACAAAAAAATAGTGCTCAACATTAGTGTAGCATTTTATTGGCTCTCCAAACGAGGTCAAAGGTGAAAGATGGTAATATTATTGCCCTTCAGATGCAAACAAGGGATAGCATAACTTATACATTTTCAAATTAAAAAAAGATTGTTTTAACATTTGGAAAACTCAAAGGCAAAACATCTTTATGAGGCAAACAAATCATATCATCACCATTTGGAAATCATAAGAAAAAACATATTATAATGGACAATTAATAACAAAATCAAAACTAGATTTGTGTGTGTTAATTCAAGTTTTACATCCACTTCTTGAGCGTGAGAGGGAAGCATTCAGACACTCCTATAACGAGGAAATAAAAAAAAAAACACGTGTCGAGGCCCGAGTAAAAACACTAGTGCAGCTCTCTGATCAGTTTAGATAGAGGCTGATCTCCGTTCACACATGCAAAGACTCTCAGATTAAAGGCCATACTGTTCCGTTTAACAGCGGTGCGTAAACCTGAGACTGTGAAGGAAACCAGCCGAGGGCCACAACATCCCTGCTGGATCTAAAAAACGACGTGGTGTTTACAGCTGACACACAAAACACAAGACAACACACCCAAGCCTCCATGCTTCTGACCTCGAATTAAACACATATCCAGCAGCAGGCCTGAACCACAGCTTTAAATTACAAATATTTTATAAAGACAAACCCTCCGATGTTCGACACGTTAATTTAATTCATCCGAGATTTAATTGGCATTTTTGGTGCAAGAAAAATAGGTCTTTATTACTGCTAAAATGTAATACAACTTTTCCTCAGACATGAGCCCTTTGAAATAAGAAAGTAATATAGGTTGTTTTTCATGTTTCAGAAGCCATATATCAATACAAAAATATATTTTCAATTTTTTAAATGAAATGAGAAAAACGAAAATGTAAGACATATTGTTGTGTTAAGAGACAAAAAAATGGGTTATCCATTATGAACTCCAAAAAACGAAACTACTAAACCTTTATATTTAAAAAAAAAGCAACTTTATCGCTATATGTGCTATGATATCTAATTTAAAATTTAAAAAACACGAAATACATCGATAAATATACCCTGAATATCTGGTTTGTGTGATTAGCAAAAATTCTCAAAATATTAACATTTTATATTTAAAAACCAAACGTTTTGAATATGGTTGCTCCTTTACGCAGGATATCAACTCGGCTAATATTGGTATTTTTGTTAGATTAAAGCCTTTAATCTGCTCTGCATTATTTCTCGTGTGCCCACACATGCATTAAGGGAATAATAACTCTTGGTGCTCACCTGCCGGCCTTGGTAACGATCATCTCCGTGCCCAGCATATTAAACTCGTCCCATAAAGCTTTCATCTCCAGCTGCACGTTAATGGTGGCCACTTTGGGGTTCTTCTTCACGAGGGTTTTTCCGTTGGGAGTGGAGTTGTTGGAGGACGAGGAGCAGTTGGGAGTCCCCCCGTCGCTCTGCGGGTTCTGGCCCGGGTTGGAGCCCGGGTAGTTGTAGTTGTGCTGGGCGGCCGGGCAGGGCTCGAAGTGGGCCTCATGCTGGCTGTAGGGGTCCCCGGGGGACGGAGAGAGGTGGTAGCCCCCCGGCGTGTTGAGGCTGCTCAGGCTGCTCGTCGTGAAGGCTGCAACATCGCAAAAATGGGACAGCTGCGTCAGCCACGGACTGGATATGGCTGAAATCATCCCAAAAGACTGGATTTACTAAATATGCCGTGCACTTTTTCTCGGTTATACAGAAAGTAAAAACAGTGATCTCCAGGTGCAGATGTCACACACAAATGCACCCCTTTCGGTTTAAAGGTTTCCGTCTCGGCTGCTCAATAATCCCTGAGGTTGCATCCAGCATGCTACAGTGTGCCTGATCTAAAAGAGTCCGAATAGTGACGAAATGTCTCCAAAACCCTGCGGTGAAAGCTGCTCGCAGAAACGAGCTTCGTGTGAGTGAGTGTTTGCTGCGGATCGATTCCGCTTCTGTTGTGCTCTGCGTCAGTGTGTTACACTGCAACCCAGTCACCTCTCTTATCTGACGCAGAGGGCCTCCCCTTTGCGATAAAACCGGTTCTTATTTCTATTTAGATAAGGAACTGCAGGTAATGTGCCTTTTCCTCGCCTTGGGACGAGACTGATTGACAGTGAAGTGCGCCCCTTTTTAATGGGCTTTCCGGCACTCATTTAACTTTTGGATAAGGTATCGCCCACAACACCCCCCGTTAGCAAACAATAGAGGATGTGCCCAGCAGAGAGGAGAGTAAACGGTTTACAAGGTAAACACACTGATTTGCATGAACAAACAAATAGGCAGGTGACTGTTGCTTTCTCGTTATTGGACAAATAGATCTATGGACTGGATGTTCACCCTCTCCGAGCTGGATATGCTCATTATGGTCTGTTTTTACCATTACGCACAGGGTGCCCATGTAAACCCTCCGCCTCTTGATCTCGTTTTTTATGATCCTCGCTACGAATAAAGTCGATTTTTTTGTTCAACACTTTTGGGTTTTGGAAACTTTTTTTCCACCCCTGTTGTTGCTCTGTGTTTAGACTTCTCCCCGATTGTCACTACTAGGACTGCATTGCATTATATTTCAACGACTGTGCCAGAATAATTGTTCCCTAACTTCATTCATGCATTTCAAATGTGGTTTTGCGCTTTGAAAATCTCGATTAACCGAGCAGATTCTCGGGTGTTTTGTCAGTTCAGAGGCGTACACATGCTACAGCAGCTTTACGGGCATCAGCAGAGTGATTTACCTTCCATTTCCCGGGTGACAGTGCTGTAGTGCATTTTATAGGAGCTGTGGTTATGCAGGTCTGGCTTGTCCAGGCCGGTGCTCTGTTTCTCAAACGCCGCGTTTCCTGCTTGCTCTGCAGCCGAAATCAGAGAGGCAATACTGAAAGCATTTGCCTTTGGAGAGAGGGGACCGCCGTCGTCCATAGGCGAGAGATCGAGTCCAGAGAAGCCGTCCCTCCTCCTTCTCCTCCTCCGCTTTCCAACCGCGTAGAAAGCAGGAGAAGGCTGCGCACAATGGAGAGGAACATGCGCCAAAATGGGGTTTTCACATTCCTTGAGTGCGAGAGTCTGGGCTCGACTGTTCTTTAGAGTATTCCCACAAGTTCCCCGGTTATCTGATTCAGTCCGTAAACTTTTTAAAGTCGTCCCACCGTCAAAACATAGTTCAAGAGAATAGAGGCAAACCTTCCCTCGCTTCTCCTGCGGTCGGTGCGGGGAGGTGTCCTCTGAGTCCTGCCTCGAAGAGAAGCGACTGCTGCAAGGAGAATGTCAAAAGTGAGCGAGATCCACGCCTCCCCTGCTCCAGCAGGAAAAAAGTGTCTGCGCTCTGCACTGCATGTTTTATTTCAATAAGAGTGTCAGTCATTTGAATTCAACTCCCAACGTCATTCATGCAATGTCCGGCTGTAAAGTGCGCAACTTTTCCAGTAACTTATAGGCCTATATATGCATATTTCAGCTTCACAGGCACCACAAAGAGTTGCTCCTGCCCCCAAATCTGCCTGAAGCACCAGGGGCTGCACTGGGTCTTTTACGCATGGGCTCACTCTGGAAATGTAGTTTTCCTTTTAATAAGTTTGGAAAAACTAAAAGGAATAAAGTTGATTCCCATTCTTTACAGGGTTGGGTGTTAACTCAGCCAAATAGCCACATAAATAATAAAATAGCTTTTTTTTATTCAAGAAATGGAATCTAGCGAGAAGAGGCAGATTGTTTTGTTTAAGGTATGGACATGCATGTTAAACTATTATCACATAAGGAGTTCCCTTTTTGTATTCACACCAGTTATAATACATAATAATACTTTATTTGGAGGCAGCTTTGACGAAACCCAATGCCACCTTCAGTACATAAAAGAAAACGAATCTATACTTTTATGCTTTTTTGTCTACGTTTTTATGACTTTTACGCAGCCCCTTTCCTCCTATGCCACATACCTAAATATATAAACTCTACTGGACAAAATGCCTTCGCTGCAGTCAGTAAACACACACAGACAAACACACGAGGCACTTGAGGCCGCAGCTGGACTTGACCTCTCCTCCTGTATCGCCCTGTAGCTTCTCAGATTATCAGGTCCAGTTTAATGTGCAGCAGTGAAGACGTGTTGTTTTGGAGCCTCTGATACAGAGCGGAAGGTCTCATTTACACCGGGAGTCTCTGAATTAAGCGTGAAGGCAGCAGCGGGGGTCTAATGGGATAAAGCAGTTAGAGGATTAACTCTTATTTGTTTTGGATGTTTCTCCGCGGGAGTCTCTGAGCATAAATAAACTACTGCAATGTGTTGGTAATGGCAAATGGATATATAGATAGGTGAGGAATTTGATTATAATGGTGCATATAAACACATTTTTAATCACTTTTATGAAACTATTTTGTTACCTTTTAAAACACTTGTGAACCAGAAATATAAGAATATGCATAAAGGAACGGACATAGTAAAATAAATTATGCACAGTTTATCAGATTCAAAATGTAAGAGATGTGCAGTTTATCAAGAAGAATTGTGGAAAAGGTTGCAAAATATTCAGAGACATTTACAAGTTTAGAGTTAGGAGTACGAGGGATTTAGCACTCAGTTTATTTAGATGTTGCCCAAATATTAAATGAAATAAATGGTAAAGTCAACACCAGTGTAAACCATCACCAAATGCAGACTTTTTCTTCCTCTTTTTTTAATCAGATATGATGCCATCGATACCGACTCACCGCCGAGTCGGAAGCCCCCTTTGTAAATACTCAGGTGATAACAGACAAAATACAGGAGCAGATCAGAATGGGAAGAGACTGTGTTGGAATCCGCTCGCGGGCCTCAGAGCGGCCGAAGCACAGTTCAACACTGAACTCCTGAGTTTGAGAGGACATTTTACACGGAGAAAATACACTTGTTTAACATTAAGCCTCATCAACCCACACCCCACTCCAAAACAACAACACATGTCAACAAATTCAAATAAAGTGCTGTGAAAGTAGAGGAAGTTTCAGAGCAGAATTAATGTGGAAAGCTTACAAAAAATGAAAATAATGCGATTTTTTTTCAGTGAAAAAACACAATATTGGCTTCTTAAGAATACAGTTGCGTAGGAATAAAATAAATAAATAAAAGGACTGTCCTCTTACTTTTATTGGAAATCCATGGCCCTCGGAATGTTAATTAAAAACACTTTATTGATACATGAATGGCCAACGACTCAACAAGTCTTTATCAGGGTTTGCAGTTACTTTCATTGCACAGAAGTTAACGGCGAATGATACCAAAAACTGAAATCTCTGTACCTTTAGCTCCTTTTATTTTAAAGGAACAGTTTCCATACAGTGTGAAATAAGGCTTTTATATACTATCAACTACAACAGGCTCCTTTAGCACATTTGTTACTCTAGACGACTTTTAGATTTCGTTACATTCACGCATCTGTGACACGACAATCGTTTTTGTCCTTTAAAATATAGTTTTATTATTCACGTTTTTAACCAAACTTCCTTGGAATATGTTTGCTGTAGGACCCCGCGCTGCAGACCTTTCCTCTCGGGCTGACAACAAGTCGACAAAGTGAGCAAAGTGTGAGCTGATAGGAGGAAACAGCCTGAACACTGACTGACGGACACACAACAGCGAAGACCAAGTCAGTCTTTTGTCAATATAAAATCAGGTTATTTGTTTGTTTTTGTAAAATTATTATTCACATAGCATAGCCTATTAATAACTTTTACCATCTTTTCAAACGAGTAGGCTCCATGTGGAACTGATAGAGGAGAACTCTTGGATTTATTGATTAGAGAAAACGTGTTTTCGTAAACTTTGGGTCGGTCAAAGTCCTCTTTAGAGTGGATTGAATTGTACATTTTGGTATTAATGTCGAAAAGAATGATCTCTAAAGATTGTTACACTTTGTACACTCGGCCGATGCACTAACTCCACTGAACAGTGACATGGCACTGTTTAGTGTAGTTAGTGCATCCGTAAAAATAAATGTGCCCACCTTTTAGTCCCAAATTCAAAGCCCTCACTTCAGCTCACGTAGTTTTCCTGCAGGCATCATCCACCATACCCACATATAATTGGCAGAACTAAAAGTACCATTTCAATTTGATATTAAAAAAAAAAATTTTTAGGAGTTAAAATGTTTTTTTCACTTTTATTTTACTCAGGAAAATAGTATCCTCTCTTATAGCGCGTCGTATGCTATATTACCAGAGCGCTTCTCTCCAAACGGCACAGATATGAAGTGCCCAAGGGGGACTGGGGCCACCAGAAGGAAAACCTGCGGGCCTTCGGTGCCATTTGACGCGAACCTTTACGCACAAAAACACATTTGTTCGAAAAAGTTTTATTAAAATCGGTCTCATTGCGTTTACCTGTGCGTAACATTCTTTTAACACATTTTGAGAATCTTTCAGTGACACTTATCCCCACATGCTGCTGGTTATCTGCTGTTCCTCCTGATGTACAGTACAGGCCTGTGTGGTCCTGTTGTGGTAACATGACAAATCAATAACACAAAACAAAAAAAAAGAGATCCCGCCCATGCCTCATTAAATGGCTCAGATCTCGGCCGCCATTTCTGTGTTATTAATAAACAGAGATGTGATGGGTCATATCTTCTTCCTCTCCTTTCTGCTCTCTCTCTCTCCTAAAAAAAACCCATGCTTTGACGTTTTTTACGCTTGTGTTGTATTCATATTTATTTCCCCAGTATTTAAATTAACGAGCCACAATCAGGGTGATAACATTATTAATTACGCGCTCCCATCTTTTAACACATAATAAATCACCAGGTGAGCCACTCATCATAAAAACAATGATGTTCACATTCATGTTGCGTGACATTAGCAGTGGGGACCGAGGCGGCGCACTCCACGTATTAAACCCTATCCTGTGTAAATATTAGTGTAAATCCCAGAATAAGGGAGAGGAAGTGAGCAGTTGACAGCCCGGGGTGTCCTCGCGAGGCTGCAGGAAATGCACGGGGAGATGCAGGTATGCACGAGGAAGTATTCAGAAAAGTGCCTCAACTATGAAGGCCCTACAAACGGTTAAAAAGACATAGCTATAACAATAATCGATTCTTTATTCAGAAGAAAATGTAGATATAAAAACACTTTTCTTACTTAAGTTATCATTAGCGCTGACTTTACGTTAATACACAGAAATTAGAAATTGACTTATTTTACAGATAATAATAAAGAAAATACATTTTATAGGCCATTAGCTACATGGCTACTTTCTATATTTATTTATGTATCAAGGCAATAAACAAACATATTTTGGTGTATGTAATTACTGTTTATCATCTTTGTTAATTTTCTATTTTATTTAACTTTTAATTATTGTGCTATCTAACATGCTGCTGTGACGAATTCCAAAAATGTGGATCAATACAGCATATCTAATCTAATCAAATGCTGAATACAAATATAAAAATAGCTATTATTCTAGCATTGCTATATATACTTTAGGTGTTGCTGTTAAATACTAAACGCTTTATCTTTTATTTTAATATCTTTGAAGCTTTTACGCACCAGCAGAGTCTGTTTGGTTATATCATATTTCTGAATGCCTTCATTCACTCGTCCTGTATATTAAAATGTTTCCACGTCTTTTCCCGACATGAAATCTCCACATCAGGGCGAAGTCTAATTGGAGATTTTCAGTAAAAACGTCCAAACATTTCACCACAGTGTTGAATATTTGTCCGATGTCTATCACTATTTATTTTCCGCTATTTGTAATCTCACTTCTGTCGTTGAGTGGTTACTTCTTGGATATTTTGAATACTTTCTTTCTCCGTTGGTTCGTCGCCATAATGAATAAATAGAAATAAAAAAATCGCTCAAATGGTGTATAAGATATTGTGTGTAAGTATGGAGGCTGATATTGAAAATGTGTTATTTCAGTGCATACTGGGTTTATTTTCGCAGCGGGGCAGATCGTAAATACTGATGTGAGTTTGTGTTCACATTGTGTTAGTGGTGTTTGCAGATCGTCCTTCAATAGCCCGCCAGTCATGCGTAAAGGCGACATACTACAGTAATCCTATAGTCAATTTCAATTGGTTCAGTCATAATACACCTTCAAACATCACAGCCACTCACAGGGGGAACAAGTACTCACACCCATTCATTAAGTAAAAGTAAAAATACTACAAGTATAAGTACAAAGGTATTAACATCAAAATGTACTCAAAGTTCCAAAAGTTAAATGTTTCCAATCGCCCATTTTAATATTATGAGTTTTGTATTGAGTATTATTGAAAGCATTATCAGCTTGGAGTATCGAAAGAAAAT